GGCTAGAATGCAGTGGCATCACCATAGCTCACCGCAACCTCTAACTCCTGGCTCGAGCAGTCCTTCTGCCTCAGCCTCCTGAGTAGCTGGGACTACAGTGTTATTGTCTTTTTAATAATAGTTATTCTAATTGGTATAAGATAGTATCTCATTGTGGTTTTAATTTGCATTTCTCTGATGATTAGTGATGCTGAACATTGTTTTCATATGTTTGTTGTCCATTTGTTTGTCTTCCTTTGAAAAATGTCTATTCAGTCCTTTGCCCACTTTTTTCATGAGGTTATTTAGGGTTTTTTGTTGCTGAGTTGAGTTCCTTGTAAATTCTGGATATTAGTCCCCTGTCAGATGTATAGTGGGCAAATTTTCTCCCATTCTGTCTGTTCACTCTGTTAATTATTTCTTTTGCTGTGCAGAAGCTTTGTCATTTGATCAAGTCCTATTTATCTGCTTTTGTTTTTGTTGCCTGTGCTTTTGAGGTCTTAGTCATAAATTCTTTGCCTAGACCAATGTCCAGAAGAGTTTTCCTTAGGCTTTCTTCTAGTATTTTTATAGTTCCAGGTCTTACATTTAAGTCTTTAATCCATCCTGAATTGATTTTTTTAATATGGTGAGACATAGAGATTCATGTAGTTTAGACTTTCTTACCCTGTCCTTCATGCTTCTTAATTTTGCATAGTTCTCATTTCTTTTCTCTTGTACTGCATTTTAGATGGTTTTTCTGATCTACTGATTTGTCCACTCTGTCTCTCCCTATTCTTCTATTAAACCTATCCATTGGGTTTTTAATTTCAATTATCATAGTTTTCATTTCTACAAATGACATTTTGGTCTTTTTCCAAATCTTTTAGTTCACTTTTTATAAATTCCTATTTCCTCCAATCATTTTAAAGTGTATCTTTTTATTACTTTAAAAAATAGTAAGCATAATTATTTCATAATCTGTGCCTGGTACTGCCAATATCTGAAGTGTTTACAGTTCTGGTTGTGTTGCTTCTTGCTCAGTGTGTATTTTTTCCTTGTGTGTTTAGAGTCTTTGGAAAATTATATCTTGGATTTCACTGAGCCCTGGAATAAAGCTGCAATCCTCCAGAAAGGATGTGTTTGCTTTGCTAGGTGTGTAGTGGTATTATCAGTTCAAATCTACTTTAATTTACATATTCAGGGCTTGTGGTTTCTTGGATCATCCATATAATATGAATTTGTGTTGCAACATAAAGAAGAACTTCCACATGCTAATAACTTCTCAGGGATTGTTTTTCCTCTTGCTATTCTGTTCAATTCTATAGCAACTGGCCTTACAGTTTCTTGGAGGAAGGGTGGAGGGCTGCATTTCTGGTTTACCCTTACATTGAGGGTGTAACACTTTGAAGTCTCAGCTCTTTACATAGTGTGTGTTCTGTTAGATTTCCTACTTTTGGTGGGCTACAGTCTTTCTTTTATACCCACCTCCTCCCATACAATTAAAACCAAAATTATCACTCTGGGCTTCTGTCTGACTCCCTTTTCAGTGCTTCAATGCTGCAGATGATTTTACCCCTAGAATTATTAGTGATTAGTGAGGAAGTTTATCCAAATAACCTTGCCTATCATATTAGTAAAATCAGAACTGCACAGAAACAATTTATCTAACACAGAAATTATTTGTTCTCTGATGGTTTGGAGAAACCTCCATAAAGCCATCTGAGCCAGGTATCTTTTTCTTAGCATTTCATCACTGATTTTTGGTTATTGGTTGTGGTTATTGGTTGATTCAGGTTTTAAACTCCTTCATAAATCAGTTTTCCTAGAAGAATTATTGTATGTTATTAGATATATGCTATTATCGAGATATATGCTGTCCAATATGGTAGCCGCTAGCCATATCTGGCTATTAAGCACTTGATACATAACTAGTCTAAACTGAGGTGTGGCATAAGTGTAAAATAAACACTGGATTTTAGTTTTTAAAAATATTGATTATAAATTGAAATAATATTTTGGATATATTGGGTTACATAAAATATTATTAAAATCAATTTCACTTGTTTCTTTTTACTTTTTAAAAATGTCGTTACTAGAAAATTTTAAATTATATATGTAACTCATATTTGTGGCTCACATTATATATTTTTTGGACAAAACTATTTTAGATTTTCAAATTATTGGTATAGAGTTGTACATATTGTTATATATTTTAATCTCTTCCAGGTTAATAGTTATGTTTCCTTTTTCATTCATAATTTTTTAAATCTATTTTTGCGCCTACTTATCACCCTTGCCAAAAGTTTGCCTATTTTTATTGGTCTTTTCCTAAAACCAACTTATGTTCTACATCTAGCTACTAGTTTATAGAAAATGAAGGAGACAGAGGAACATGTTAACACATTGGGAATAAACATGCAAAAAGCAGAATGTTTTCCCTTGCATGACAATATTGATTCTTCAACAAATAAATAACAAGAAAATAAATTGCAGGCCGGGCGCGGTGGCTCACGCCTGTAATCCTAGCTCTCTGGGAGGCCGAGGAGGGTGGATTGTTTGAGCTAAGGAGTTCAAAACCAGCCTGAGCAAGAGCGAGACCCCATCTCTACTAAAATTAGAAAGAAATTAATTGGACAACTAAAAATATATAGAAAAAA